AAAGACAAAAATATGTGTAATTTTTAAATTTTTATAATTATAAACATTTCATATATGTTGAATAATATAACCATATTTAAAAATACATAATATTATTATAGTTAAATAATTATTCTTTTAAATATTATTTTAAAGTAAGTTATATATTTTAAAGAATAATAAAAGGATTATATGTCATAATCATAAAAGATTTAAAAATTAGTATTATAAATCAACAAAAAAAGAAGTTTAAAAATCTTTTTTATCTTTTGAATAAATATTTTATTTATATCTAAATATTTTATACTTTATTGTTTTTTATATTTATATTTTTCATGCACAAATAATATATTTCATGTAAAATTTTTAATTTTATTTTATAAAAATTTTTTATAATTATTTTTTTATTTTAGTTCAAATTTAAATACAAAATTTAAAAATAAATCAAAAACATTCATAAAATATTTTAAAAATATTTAAAATATTTAGAATATAATTTTTTAAAAAGAATAAATTAAACAGAAATTATTTTAGATTTAACAAATTATTAAAAATATTTCATGTTTACTATTTTACTGATTTCTATTTACTTCAACATGATATATTTTATATTATATTAAATTTTTTCATTTATAAAATATATTAATTTTTAATCCTAATTATAATTGATATATGATATTTGAATGATGAAATGATAGAAATGTAAAAAATGTGATTTTATTATAAGAATATCTATTTATATTTTTATGTCAAAATTTTAATTCTTTATCAAAACTATTTATATTATATATAGTTATATATAGTATATATAATTATAACTTTATACAATTTACATAAAAATTATTTATATTTTTCTTTTATTTTCAAGTTTTTGACATATTACATACTTAAAAATTTTTTTATTATTTGAAACATATTAGAAAAGCAATATAATAAAATTAAAAATTATTTGGATTAATATTGCAAATAAATGAATTGTTTATTTTAAGAATATATGAAAGACTGCATATATATATATATTTATTCAAATATTAAAAAATATAATTAATAATCATTATATAGCACCAACTTGGATAATGGGAATCAATAATTTAAAGGCATGTTGAATATAAGAACTTGCATTTGAAGCCTATTTAGAAAAAATAAGATTAATTTCTTAACATATATATAATAATAATAATATATATATAAGAGTATTTTTTACCTCCATAAAAATCGTTGTTATATTAGAATTAATATTATCAGATTTGTCTGAAATTTCAGCGAGTTTAGATAAAATACTACAGTAAGTATTAGATAATATTCCAATTTGATTAGACAAAATATTTGTTAACTGAACTAATGAATCAGTTTCATTAACAGTGCTTCGATGTTCTTTGATTAAAAGTAATCCTGCAGTTTTATGAAATCTTTCTACAGAAACTGCTGTAAATTGTGCCAAAATAGAAATAGCATGTTCAAATATTTCTTGATTGGTATATGTCATAGATTGAGTTGTATAAATTTGTGAGTTTTGACAAATCTAAAAAATAATATTTAATTTTATATATATTGTATAATGTATCCTATATGTAATAGTAAATTTATATGTATTTATTTATAGTATAGAAATTATAATAATTATTTACCTCGTACAATTTATCATATGTAATGTTAATTCCAAGGTCACAAGTAGCTTGTTTTAATTTACATTTTAAATCTTTTTCATGTGTTTCATCATCATTTTCATCTTCTCCTAATTCACATAGTTCTTCAACTTCTTCCAACATTTTTTGTACAGAATTTAATTCATTTATATCTAAACTATTCAAATGCTGTTGTATTTTAATATTACTTTGTTTTGATAACATTTCTAATGCTTCTATATGAACAAGTCCTTGATAATCATCAAAAAGACTTTCAAAATGTACTTTTCTCATTTTTTGTTTTTCTTCAATTGTTTTTTCAACATTGTCTGCTTTTTCTTTAGCTTCTCGAAGAATCTGAGATAAATTTGGCTTGTCTGGCTCATTTATAAAAAAAGCTCTTTTTTTCTTCAATCCTGGATCACCTTCTTGTAAGACTTCCATTGTTTTTTTACCAATAGCTTCTAATGTATCTAATCCTCCACTCATAACTTTGCTTCCAGTTGATTCAACCAGTTTTGTTATTGATGATACACTTGATATAAAATTTCCAAATCCAAAAGATAATTGCTCTTTGAACTGATCATTTTTATTATCATCTGGAAATTAAGTTAACTAAAATCAAAATATAATAATTTAATTTGGCTAATTAAAAATACAATTAAATATATTTATCCTATATCATTCATAAATAGATATATAGTATATTCAGTAGAATTGAATATAAAACAACATAATACCATTAACTATATTATTTTGTTTTTCTTCATTAATAATAGATTTTGGTTCTTCAGATATAGTTATAGATTCTTCTAAAAGTGTAAGTCCTTGTGATACATGGCTAGTTAATGTAGAAACTCCAGCAGTAGCAGTATTAATTAACGAACTTACACCCCAATTAGCCCAACCCCAACTTGAAGAGTTATCGGTTTCTTCAGACAATGATAATCTTTTTAATACTGGTTGCAATTTTTCTTCAGTTAATTCCTCTGGTAATTCAATTGCATCTCCAAGTCCTTCCCAACCTTGAGGTTTAAATATTTCTTTGAATGTTTTATTAGATTTCATTTCTTCTGGCATTTCTGACTCAGTTATTTCATCTGTCTTATCAAACATAATATTTTCTTTTGTCATTGGTATATTGCTTTCATTAATATTTGTATTCATGTTAATTGTATTAGTTGTAAGATTAATACTTGGTATAATTTTAGTTCCTAATTTCTTCTTATATAACTTTTGTTCTTTATGAATTCTTTCTTTCTCATTAAATTTAGATGTTTCAGAATATAATTTCATATTAATATTCATTTCAAGAGATGTATCTATTTCATTATCTAATTCTATTATTTTATTATTATTTTTCACTTTTAAATTTATAGTATCAATATTGGTCTGTGGATCTTCTATTTTCTTGGAATTAAGAATTATAATATCTTCATCAATTTTATCACAAGTTTTGTCAATATTCATAATTGGTTGTTCATGTTTATAATTATGTGTATCACTAATATTGATATCTTTATCAAAAATTTTTTTGTCAATTGTTGTATCTATCATTGAACAATATTTTTCTTTCTCTCTACCAAAAGATATATTTGTATGTGATTGTCGAGGTACATATTCTGTATCATCATCAGATTCTGAATCTATTGTTGTTGGTAAATTCCATTGTGTTTGAATACATTTCTTTGTTGGTATATCATGGTTCATTTCCTCGTCAGCACTTTCGAAGTCATCACTCTCGGATGTAGCCATATTAACTTAATATAAAACACTAAATTATTGTTTCTTAATCAAAAATAATTTAGATAATTTTAGATTTGTATATAATAGGTTTACGATATAATCTTGATTTCAATTTTTGTATAATTTTTATAAAATTTGAATTAAGAAGGTTATCGTTTTTAAAGAATACTCGTCCATATTTGTACAATGCATATATATATATATATATATATATATATATATATATATATATATATATAT